TTAAAGTTGCTTTGTGAGTACTGCTCAATCAAGTAATAACAGAAGAGCAAAATATCATAAAAGTTTAAGACTACAGTTATCCTTCTGGCAGGACAGAGATAGTAAGTGGATTAAAAACTGGAGGAGAGGTAGCTCTATTTTGACTTTAGCCTGGTGCCCATCACTGCAGTATCCAAATGACCATCACAGTTTGTCCTAAGACAAAGATCACACACAAGGTCCACAGACTGGAAACCAAACCCAGATCCTGAATTTCACCCCATTATTCTAACACCAGACCCATCCTTCCTGCCCATTACAACTACACTTCTAAGGATCATCACTGTCAAGAGAGGATGACATTAAGAGCAAAAGGCAGCCATCAGGTCAGACCTTGAAGGGATGGGGATGTTAACTGGTCTTACATGTTCTCTCATTCTGTTTAACATATTTACTACATTTCTTGTTTTCAGCTAACTTCAGCTAAGATATTCCATCCAGTCTGCTTCCTTTTCAAGGTACCATCAGTCAAATCTAACCACATCATTTTATCTCTTGGTTACTAAACTCAAAGCATTTTAAACATCCTGCTTTCATCTTTATAGCTCTCTCCCACTTTTTAACCGTGCTGCAGTTACAGAAGAATGTACTTGACATATAAAACGTGTGTGTGATTCCTGTAACATTTTAATGCCGTGTATTGTGTTGTAAACATCTCTTCATGTTTTATCTCCTTCTCCATAAATCAGAGGCTAGTATCTTAGAAGTCTCAAAAATGACATGTTTTCTCCATAATATAAATGTAAGACTACTCCTTGAAACGAGTCAGCTTTCAAAAATCATCAAAAACCAGAGCTACAAAAAAGCAGATTATCAACTAACTTAATAGAATTTTCTCCCACTCCATTTCTATGGCAGAATGAGCATAGGATGGGAAAAAATACGTTACAAAATTGGTCTTCACCAATGAGAACACCAATGTTTTGATTATTCTTTTTTGTCTCTTGTAAAGAACAACACTAAGGTAAAATACCTTCTTGTGTATCCATACCAATATACAACACTGAAAGAAGGAGGAAAGCAGAGAGTATACAGGAAATTATATACTGGGAATAATTATTTGTTTTATTCAAGATTAACATGCAGTGTTTACAAGACGAAACCCCAGAACATATTTCCATTTCCTTACCATAACGGCAATTAGTAAGATTGATCTCTTATAATGAGATTTTCCAGTGGTTTTGGCTAGCTTAGTAATATTACAGTAAAAATGTGTCTCAGTCTTTTCCTTGGTAAATGCATAAAGAGATTTTTTTTTAATTAAAAACCACTGTAAAATATTTATTATTTTGAAAAGATAGAACACCAATAAAGAACACCTGTCTAAAATAATTTTAAGTTACTTCAATGATGGAAAAAAGAAAGAGTGCCATTAGAAAAAGAGAAAAAAAAAAGTTTTAGCAGGTGGGACTGAAAAGTGGTGACATGTTGTAGTACAATACTGAAGGGCTGAAGGATGTAACACAGTGTTGCATGATGTGGAAGAGAACCAGGGACCACTGGATTAACGTGCCACTAAAATGCTAGATGAGGTGTGAAGTACAACTCTGAAGTATTGTGATACCAAGGAGTGAGGCAGAGGCAGAACTGCTGGTAGAGGAGCAGAGAAATAAAACGCTATCTTTCCTCTGGCACCTTCCAGCAGGAGTTGACTCCCTTAAAGCCCACAGACCCAACAGGCTCTTCAGGAAAACCCAAGGAATATTTATTCAGATCTCTAGAATTCATAACATTTTCCACCAGCCTGAGAGATTCTGTTTCTATCAAACTACTGTCTAACATAAATTATTCCAAGATACTTTTCTTGACGTTTTCTACACAGAGGTTTCTAGAGTGACCTTGCTGTAGAAGAGGCACCACGGTTCCCCCCAAAGCAAGCTCAGGCTCAAGCACTTTTTGTCTGTATTTTCCAGGATTTGTGTTTTTTCAAATGCAACTTTTTCACTGTCCTTTTGAAACAAACAAACAAAACCCCAACAACAGCCAAAAACCATAATAATTAAGTTATTTCTACTTGCATTGGGAAGTATAGCTAGAATTTAGAATTTACAGGTTGTGAAACTTGTTAGTAAATGCATGCCTTTGGTTGATAAATATCCAGATTGTAGTTCTATAAACAACAGAAAAACACCATGTTGACAACTCCCAGCATTTTTTAATTATTGCTTTCTTGTTAAGGACAGTGAAAGTGGGGCAAGAACCTCCACTCTGGCAATTTTTTGTAACTTTCTAGCTCTTGTGGTTAGGAAAAAAAATGTTTCAAGTATGAAATACAGCCACCTGAAACAGAGAGAGCAAGTGATAATTAAAAGATTATTTTAGACCCACTTTGTAAAGAAACAAAATATGACTCCTTGGTCTCTGTGCAGAGTCCTGGCTCCCTCCCCAGTAGTGAATGCAACTTAAATAGTTAATTCAACTTAATTCAAGGGGGGTAAACTGGCTTCAGCTCCTTCCAGATTGCTAAAATGAAGTGGTTGAGAGAAGGAAAAAAAAAAATCCAAACCACAGAATCTGAACAGTTAAAAGTTTGTATCAATATTTCCATGAATACTACAGAATCTCTATTACATTTTCACAGGACCAGACTCCTCACATCCTGTCCTAAATCATGGGGAAGAATCTTATGCAATCGACACTTTACCTTCCCACGACATATTTGAGGGCTGTAAATTGTGAACACAGATTTATCAGGCAAATGAGGAGTGGGAAAGACGAGTTGCCCTTAAAGATGTACAGATTTATAGCAATATGGGAAGCGGAAAGACGGTTATCATATAAAAAGGTCCTCAAGGGATAGCAAGGAGCAACAAGGGAAGCATGAGTCATGAGCTGCCAGAGAAGAGGATGCGTATGGGGAGCAATGGACAGAGCAAAGTAGCAATAAAGGAAGTTCTGAGTCGGATACCCAAGCTTACAGAATTGATCAAAAATTGAACTCCCAGACAATTCAGACACTGCACCAACAGCAACACCGGGAAAGGCACACTGTTTGACTGAAAGGATCTATTGATAAACAAGGTCATAGCCCACAGCTCTTGTCATTTGCTTTGTTACCAACTCTGCTTCTTTATTTTCCTTAATAAAACTAGTTGCCGTGAAGGTCTGCCTACACAGGCAAGTGCCTTCACATGAGCGAGTGTGAAAACTTAAAGCATTCAGCTGAGATTGTGAAAGACAGCTTTACACTTTGTGAGGCTGGAGTAAGCTTCTCTATTTAAGGGCGTATTAACAGCTGTTCCTATGGTGAGATAGCTGTGAATAAACAGTGAGTTATGAGCTCAAGCACAAAGTTATTGCACTCTTAGGTTTCCTTTCCCATCCCAGCAAACCTCCAAAATTATGGCACAGGATTCTGGGTACTCCCAAGTACTGCAAGATTTTTAAAAGTGACTTCCAAAAGTTTAACAAGTGGTTACTACTGGGACAAAATACAACACTGAGAAATACATGGGAGCTGAAGACAAAGAAAACCAGCTATTTGTGTGTGAATATCATCTCTAGGAAGATCTATCAAAATCTCAAGAAAGATAAGTTGCACAGGAGTCTCTAAACAAATAATTAATTCTCCTCTTAGTCCAGTATTATCCATATCAAAGGTGAAAGTAAACAGGACAGTAAATATTTCAAAGGATTGATAAGTGACAAAATGAAAAACCTGTAGTAAAGGAAAAATTTTATCAAAACCAAGAAAGCTTCACCTTAGTTATGACAGCTTTTCTATCCAGAGTTTGTGTGAAAAGTATGTATGTGACAAGCAAATGTATACTCCAGAAAATAGTGTGACTTTCTTAAAATTATTTTTCAAGGCTACCTAGTGGTTTCAAGTTAGGTAAACTACTTAAATATTTCCAAGCAACTGAAAGTCATGCAGCATCCTTCCTATTTTGCAGAGAAAAAAAGACACAAAGTTATCTGCCTACCCCAGTTTTAAGAAGAGTAAAACCTGTACTCACTTCAGTCTGAGCAAGATGTGTGCTTATGGGTACGATCTCAAAAAGCACATCGGGTGCCTACAGCTGAGCTGTTATAAGGTGTAAACATCAAAGAGCCCAACTCAATCTAGGTGACTCCAGGATGTAGATCACAGGAAACCCCCATCCCCTGTTCCATTCACAAGGTCCCACGACTCAGCCCTCTCCATCTTCCATGTGAATGCAGAAGGTGCTATCAAAGGTGGCACTTCTACTGCCACTTCTTTTTCCAGGACATATTTATAACTGAAAGTGCCTTGTGGCTACTATGCCCTGTAACTCCATTCAACACCAGAAGCATTGTTACCTGCTTACTAGTTAGGGTCACCTTTGGGACTTAGGAAGAGCCTAACAGCATCTTTGCTTCACAGCGGGGTTTCAGGCGAGCTGAGAGATCAGCACCAAGCTCCACAGGCACATTCACACGTGCAAGGGAGTTCAAGTTCAGGCACCTGGAACAACTCCAGCATGAAACAGCTACCACGACGGAGATTTTCAGTATGTTTTGTAGATGTGCAGGAGATACCCTGAGTCCAGCCCAAACAGAAGCACACAAAGCCCACCTAAAGTCCCACTACAGACACTTAGAAAGGTGCTCTGAGCCATTCTTTAAACACATCTGACAAGGTCATTCCATGACACAACCAAGGAACCAGGCTGGTAAGGCTGGAGCCCCAATGGCTATTCTTATACTCCAATTACACAGTTCTTCCTATGTCATTTTCAGTGACCCAGGCTTGGTATTATCAAGACAAACATTATTACTGAAAGGCTTAAAACCTCATCAGCTTAATTCTCAATAAACACACTGTGTCTAGCAACTATACTTTAATCCTCAGACATGTATTCCTTTCGCGGTGGCAGTTTTAGTGGCTCAGAGCTCATGCAGCAGCTGAGGGTACAGGCCTCCCTCCCAGTTTATGCTCCTTGGTGGCAATTCAGAAGCCAGGATACCAGTTTGTGGTACAGATGAAGAAATGCACTGACCTGATTGATGGAGTTGGCAGCACAGGACGCCAGTCCGGTTCCGAGGGAGGCGAGCAGGAAACAGGTCAGGTCAAAAGGGACCGGGGCCATGGCAAAGCCAGCAGACGCGGTGCTTACAACCAGAGCTGCAACACAAGCGAGAGCACAGTTCAAGGCATCAACACGAAACCATCTCCTTTCTACACACCGCTAAAGTTTTTAAACTCTGTAAGAACCCTTGTGCAGGTTAACTTTTCATGTTAATGTTAACTTTTCAAGTTCTATGAATCAAAGCAGCTCCAGGAACTATTAATACTAATACTCTACATAAAGAAGGCAAAGATGAGAAGGAGAGCTGCCAGGGATGAAATAAGAAACCCAGAAGCATCAGCACATTAGTAGAAGAGGTGAGAATAAAACTTGTGCCTGTATTCCCTATTTTATGGATTTGCTACAGAATCAAACTGCCTCACACAACACTTACATGAGACACATCTGTCCCAATAACTCAACTGCCACTGCAAAGCCCAACATGGAAGTAAAACAGTAAAAAAAAAACCAAACCTGAACCGAGAGATAAGCAGTATATCAAATTATAGCAGAGACTTAAGCAGTGCAGAAAGGCAAAAAGAGACTCGGGGCATGTAGGCTACAGCTGGTGAGGCCAGTAACTTCACTGTTCAGTATCTGCCCACACTGTTCCCATTTGCCATGCCCACTTCAGGCAGAAGGTACAATCACATCATCACATGGGCCTAGCAATATTGAAAGGCCTCAAAATCTGAGTGAATTAATAAAAATCCATTTCAGTTTTGCCATCCAAAACTGTAACATTAGTACAGCATTGCAAATCACATCCTTAAAATTAAAGTTACCCGAGTCTCGACCCTAATACTGCGATTACCCAAATAACAGGTCTTACGAATCTCACTTTTGCCAAGAAATAACGCATGAAAAATTTCTTATACTATAAAAGCTAGCACATTTACTGAATATCTTGCTCGTGACCTTGAACCTTACAATCTAAAATTAAAAGTAATTAAACAAAGTATTTAAATAATATTTTGCATGTAATTACATGTTCCAGACCTCAGATAGCTCAAGTTAAAGAATCAAAATGTTCTTATCTTCCCAATTCCTAGTGTCCTCTCAAGTTACATGACAAATAAATAACCTTTGCTGACTGGAAATACCTGGATTATCTACTAAGCAGTGTTACTTGAGATGAAAAATTAAATGTCACTGCAGACACCTGCCAGCAAGGATGCACATGCAAAGTGCTAATTTTAAGAACTGTGTCTGCGTAAGAACCTTAGGATGTAAACCTAAAAAGACAGCGAGGAAAATTTGCCGCTCATTAAAACTTTCATTTAAGTACAAAAATCCATTGGCAGCTGAATATTATTATAATAATATACATAATATTATGATACATATTAATTGTTCAGCCGTGTCACGGATTCGCAGGGTGCGATGGCTGCCGCACGGGCTGGCAGCGAGCGCGCTGTGCCGGGGTCTCTGCCCGACTCCCAGCTACGTCCCTGGCTCTGATCCCCTCCGACAGCATTGCCGAGGGCAGCACCCGGCTCTCACCACAGCGGCTGCTTCTAAAATACAGTGAAGCTACAATGAAGCCTTACACCTCTGAGAAGCTGTGAAATAACCAGCGATTCTGTAACCCCACACAGATACTGATCATTTCTGAAAGACTGGACCCCCATTTACTCTAGAAATACAACAGCATCTTGGGTTTCAAAACTCTTGGATACTTCTTAGTAGAACACACAAGAAAATATGAAATGCATTGGTTTACAACTTAGAGAGTGAAAAAATACACTGAAAAGATGAAAGATGACGGCGAATCAGTGGCATTCGCATTTCTAAGTGAGATTACATTCTATTTTTTGCATAATAAATCACACACTTCTAGACAAGAATTTAATTAAGACTTATCTTAGAGAGCACTTTACACCAATTTATTAAGGGAAAACACCAACTCATTTACTGAGGGAGGTGGAGCAGATTGGCAAACAGCCAGTGTAACATTACCATTACACTGACCTCAAAGAAATTCTAATACTGTACAGCTACAGCACTAATTAAAGCCTCCATTGATTTCTCCAGATTAATTTCAGCCAGTCATTTCAGTGTGACTTATCAGGATCTCATCAGAAAAGCTTGTAGTACATCCTCTCACTTTATCCCATGGAAACAGGTATTCTCAGTTGTTTGGGCAGTGCTCTGAACACAAGGCATTCCCTGCTTGTGTCACTGCCCGGCAATTCAAATGTAACACGTTAAGAGTAAATAAGAAAATATTCCCTTTGGACTGGGAAGTTTGTTTTCTTTTCTGTGGAAGCAATAATTTACTCTTTCTACTTTCCTCATGGAGGAAAAGTGTATTTAATTGAGATCACATCAAGGGAATGAGGTCATTGACTCTGTTTGTTTTTTAATCCCTGTTAGTTTAGTGCTTTAGGGGCCAAATTAACTTCATCTTATTGCATAATAGATGGAATTGATCCTTTCAAGATTTGTTGATGAGAGCTGGCATTACATATGCTCTTCAAAGGGAAGCCAGGATTTAAACTTATGATCTCAGCCTAAACCTAGTTTTCAACCTTTTAAACATCTTTAGCTTTAACAAATATTAACAAGGGGCATTTGTGTTCAATTTCAATGTAAATGAAAAAGAAAATACTAATGGATTGGTGACCAGAAGAGTGAATTAGATGTTTCTAGCATAAAAACACATTCAAGAAGTCTACAGTGTACAGTATTCTTTCTATTCCTCTTCAGCTTCATTGTAACACGATCTGATAAATCTTGATAAATCCCTGTATTGGTATTTATAGCATGTGAATCACTATGCCATATTTTGTTTACCTCCTATTAAAAAGTAGCCAAGTCAAAATAAAAGCATAGAAAGCCAAAGCAAAGCAATTCAGGTTTAGATATCCTTTCTACTCCTGTACTGATGATATACCAGTACATATGGAAGGACAAACCAAGTACATTTATACTTTAATTTGAGAAAAAATTTCACTGTTTTATTACAAATGTTTATAAAATCCTTAAAGGAAACCAGAATTCCAAAAGGTGATGGAATTTTCCTTCCAGTTTTCAGACTGGTTTCTGGAAAGCTAAATGTAGCATCAGCATTAGTGCTATATATCCAACCAATGTTTCCTTTATAAACTTAGATTTGTCTGGGTGTAGGCATATCTATGTTTTGTTGCAGATTATAATCTTCATGCTAAAGAAGGCCAGACTGCTGAAGCAAAATTAAATCTGGGACAATAATTTGAAACAAGTCTTTGCATCATATCGTATAAAACTCAAGTCCAATATTATGAACAGAGAAGATGGTAAAAGAGACTACCACTATTGAACAATTTAAAAATGCTCTGCAGTAGTACTTTATTTTTATTTCATTAGTTTTCTTTGTAGCATGGAAAACAAATTGCCAGAGAGCTACCACTATTAAGTTTTATTTCTTTGATAGGATAATAGTTACTGTTTTAATAATCACAAAATGGGAACTACTTTGACAGGCGTATGAAATATATTTAGAACTGAGAACAAATGTAGAATAGTAATAATCTAAACAATTAGTAGTGATAAATCTTTGTCAAAGTTTCTGGCTATATTAAAGCTACCATTTAAAGAATAAAAGCCATAATAAATGCCTAACTATTGCAGAATAAAGTGGAAACACACTGGAACTCCACTAAAGCAAATATGTTTTTTTACTGGAGTGGCTGTTACCAGATTTTTAGGTGAACACAACATAGGCACCTTATTTAGTCCTTGTTGCTCCATTACACAGCATGCTAGTTTAGTAACACTCAGAACCATTATGCAAAGCTGGATATCCATCATCTTCATTTTACAAATACACAACAGACACAGAGATGAAGCAGGATGTTCATGATCACATCGTAACTGTAAGCCAGCAGAAAATGTCTCAGGCTTCTGATTGCCAGTTGAATACTTTTGTGCTAGAGAATTGCTAACACACAGACACAAATTCATATGTAAGCAATACATTCAATAAATTCCAACTGTTTTCTAGTAAACAAGGCAGGATTATTTTCTTAAAAGGGGACATATGGAAAGAAAATGTTCATAAGTTATCACATTTGCTAACTTTGTAAGTCTTAAATGTAGGTCAGTAAGTCCATGACATAGAAACCACAATTTTGTAGCTGGTAGTCTTTACTCCTAGGTTTTTGTCCAATGTTGTCTAGCACCAACACAGAGTAATTCAAACTAGAAGGGATCTCAAGTGATCAAGTCCAACCTCCAGTTCAAAGCAGGGTCAATGATGAATTCAGGCCAGGTCCCTTGGGGCTTTGTCATCTCCAAGGATGGAAATTTCACATCATCTCTGGACAACGTGATCCAAAGTTTGACTGCCCTCATGGTGAGACTTTTCCTTTTTCCTTATGTCAAGCCAGAAACTCCCCCTTTTCAATTTATGAAACATGTTTTCTCTGTGCCAAGACTCAAATATTTTTAAAAATATTTGAAAACTAAAGCATAGATGCTTCCAGTCCTGAATTTTGGCACGTGACTGGAGAATGGCCACATCCTCCTGCCTGTGGAAGAAGGTATTAATGATCAGATGGTATCAAAACGGTATGTAAATCTTTACCTTAAAAACAAACATCAAACAAATTTATGGGCCTCCTCAGAGAATTGATTATCTCAGTCTCATGATTCTGTCCATAACATGCACATTACACTCTCATGAGGAAAAAGCACAATAGGTTTGATTCTAACCTGACCACAGTAAACCCTGGAACGACTATTAAAGATGACTAAATTACTCCAGATTTACAGAGGTGTAAACACCTCAGGCCGGTCTATTTTAGCTCTACGGTACAGACCATGACAAAACCAGATAATTTACTGTCAACTCTTCTTACATAACACTAATAGGACACTGGGTTGAACTCTTCAAGAGCTAGATATAACCAAACATCTCACATCCTCAAGGTGAATGAAACAGCAAAATCTAAGTTTACTTCGAGAAAGTTTCCAGATTTCTTGGTCTTTGGAGAAATAGTAACATACTTAAGTGGAGCAAAGGAGAGTTTCTGTTAAGACACAGACATTTTTCAGCAGTAAGGGCAGTAACACTCCACTGCATACTGCCCAGGGAAGCTGTATATTCCCTGGTTGGCTTTAAGAACGGACAAAGCAACGTCAAGCCAGGAATGATCTACCTAAATGTGATCCTGCCTCGAGGGAAAATAGATTAGATGACTTCCTGAAGCATCTCTTTGAGGTCCCCATCATTCTGCATGGATACTGCACACCCCAAACCACAGCAAGATACCAAGTGCAGAAGCCACTCTGATGAGATCTGAAACAAGTCTCCAGTGATCAGCACAGGAAAGCAATGCTCACCATGCTTTCATGGACTGACTATTAAAATGGACTTTGAAAAAAAAAAAAATACTACCAAAACTCTAAACCACCTTTGAACAGTTGGAAGGTAAAAGTGCTTTGCAATGAGATGCTGTAAAAGAATATAGACTTTGGGGGACAGTCTATGACTGTGCATATGATCTCTGGGTAAACAGCAACCAGTTAATACACAGTTGTGAATAAAAAAAAAACAATCTTTAGACAAATTAATATGCTCATGAACACAAATAAAAAATGTTAACTGTACTACATTAAAACACAGGATAAAGGAAAGTTAGATAAATGTTTGAAACATACAGGCTCTAGTAAAACTTTCCAAAGGAGATCCATGTTTTGGTAGCCTGGAGTTAGTGCTCTTCCAGGCACAGTAGAGATAGATACACTGAAGACAAAGCCCCTTCCTCAATGAGCTTGCATGCTAGATTAAAAATTCTACAGCTGTTTAGAAATTACCAGTTAAGTTTACATCTAACTCATGCTGATACACCCAGTTCTCAGACAGGTGCTATATATGGTGCTCTACATCTAGCTGGTTGTTTTCACCAAAAGACCAACATGCAAGACATCCTTTACTGCAAGAGCAACAATGAGAAAATCTCCCCAAACCATAAAGAAATATCTAATGAGAATACTCAAGATTTTTCATATCGTGCCTTCATCACACTTCTGCCAAATTAAAAACTGAAGTTTAATTTTCCTGTGTTTTTGCATATAGCTCATCTTAGTTTTCATCTGCAATCACTGGGAAAAAATATCACTTAAATGTAAACTTAAAATTAAGAAGACAAGACAACCTGAAATTCTTAATGTGTTTGCATTAGAAATTATTAGAATTTTCTCTTATTACTGTACCTTCACATCTCCTTTCCTATTTTCAGCTACACATGAACTTTGGGACAAAGTTGAAAACAGTGACATTTATAATTATGAGAACTTAATCAGATAAAGCATTTGGTTTCCAAGTGCCTCAATGGTAAGATACAGCTGTTCAGACAGCAGCCAACAGAGAACACCACAGAGCAGGGAAAGGATGGAAAGTGAACACAAAAAGGTAGATTATGAGACAAGTAATTAGAAGTTCCCTAATTGTTTTCCATGGCAAAAGAATATAAACAAAAATCTTTTCCTGTTGGTAAGGCAGAGCTTCTAATGGCAGAGTGACAAGAGCTGCAGTTTACATGAAGCAGGAGGGTATGGTAATAGCTAAACTCATTTCCTTTCAAAGGTGAATTACAGTTCAGAATACAAACAAACACTCTCTTTACTTCAGCAGCAGAAATAGAAAAGGGCATAAGGAAGTCCCATTTCAGGATAATGCTGAGTTTGTTTTTTTGTTATTTCATACTCTAAAAAGAATAAATAAAGAGTCTGTCAGAAAAACAACACAGGATATGAGATCTATCAGAAACTCATGGGTGAAAGCAACTGAGTTGTGTGTCACTTGTAACTTAAAAACTGACCTCAGAGAATTTATTTTTCTTTAAAAAAAAAAAAAATCAAAGAACCACACCACCATATTCTTTACAGAATATATAATTTGTCTAAATGAATGCACAAGTTCAAAAAAAAAAGCTAACTCTGTTTCCTTGCTATGCACATTACACCCAGTATTTTTCCTACTTGTCCTCTACGCTGCCTTATGACCAATAAAGACAAACCTCCTCCTACAAACCCCTCTTCATAGAATCACAGACTGGTTTGGGTTGGAAGGGACCTTAAAGCTCATCCAGTTCCAACCCCCCTGCCATCAGCAGGGACACCTTCCTCTAGACCACGTTGCTCAAAGCCTCATCCAACCTGGCCAAGAACACTTCCAGGGAGGAGCAGCCACAGCTTCTCTGGGCAACCTGTTCCAGTGTCTGACCACCCTCACAGTGAAGAACTTCTTCCTCATATCTAATCTAAACCTCCCCTCTTTCAGCTTAAACCCATTTCCTCTTGTTTTGTCATTAACTGCCCTTATGAAAAGTCCTTCCCCAGCCTTGAGGTTTTTTTAAAAAATAATGAGGAAGAACATTTGGATATACAGACAAGATCAGTTCTGTCAAGCCCAAAACATGAGGTACCCAATCAACACTGAGAACTATAAGGCTTTTTATTAGAGAAAAATTTAAATTACTATTATACCCTATATATGCTTTGTATGATTTTTCCACAGAGAAACAAACAATGAGAACATATATATTGCAAAACAAAAAGTCTCAAAAAGTAAACTGAATTCAGTAAACTGAATTTTTATTAGAACAACTTGTTATGGCAAAGAACAGTTTCATTATCAAGAATTTATTTCACCTGCTGCAGAGAGCACCCAGTAGGAGCTTAGGTAATTATATTTCTGTTCCTTGTCCTGATACAGACAAGATATAAGGATATGGTCAGATCATTAGAGTTTCTTTAGACATTAAAATATATATAGCACTACCTATTGGCAAAGAAGTAATTTATAGTTTTTAAGTGTTACTATTAGAATTAGGGAAAATGTAGTTAGGCCAGAAGGGAAACTGCTGGTTTGAAGATACACCACTATCATAGACTAGAAATAAAATTATACCTTATTTTATAAAATTTAATTGGTCACACTCAAACATTTTCCTTTGTAAGATGTGAAACTATTCAGATTATCTTTTGTTGGAACTTTTAATACTAATTTCACAATAAGCAATACTAAAGTGAAATGTAAGTAAATAAGCCAGAACACTGGTAACTTAAGCTAGGCCACTTTAAATACTTAATACAATGCTTGCAAATTCACTTCCTAATCCAGTTTAACCATATTTTTTATACTGACATTTGCTTATGACTCCCAAAAGCTGACGATACGATGCAAGCTCCTCCTGACTGTTTTCAAACAAATTTAATGGGAAAACTACTAAATGCTTCCATAAAACAACTTATCCCTGCACACATTTGATGGAATTGACCCAGCTATGTAAAGTGGGAATTATCACACAAAAACCTACACAGTACCAGTAACATGCTAAAGAACTCTGATATCAAACAAGATGCACAAAAGTAAAAAAAATGACCAGTAGTACCTGTAAGCTTAATTTTGGACAAGCGTGCCAAAATTCCTGGCAAATCATCCAGCCGTAGCTTCATTTCTTTCCATTGTCTGTCTTTGGATTCTGCTCTTACTGGGGTGACTGAATCTTCAGTTTCTGCTCCTGATTTCATTTCTCTCAACCCATTTCTGCCTGATGTCTCAGACAAAGGTTGAAGAACAGGTGAAACTGGTCTAATTTTGTGTATAATCTTTTTTTCTTGATCCAATCGCTGAAGCTCGCGAAAAGGAGATGTAACTGAATCTGACTGCGGTTTGGCTCGTTGGCTGAGGTCTTTGTTGTACTGTGTTACATACTAAATAGAATAAGAAATGTTAAGATTATATTTCTGTCCATTTCAGGTTATTAACAACATCAAGTACATTGCTATATTATTCTAATTGTTAGAAGAATTATTTCCTATGATGACATGACTGAGTTAGCCTGAATTTCAAACACTTATTCCACACGCAAAAGAAGTTTCTGAAGTTGGACAAGACGTTACAAAGGCAGCTTTTCATTACACAACTGCACCAGTAATGTTTACTTAAGCTTGACAAATTGCTTTTGCATAAAACTATTTCCTCTCTTGTAGTTTCAACAACAAACCCTATTTTATTCATATTCTAATCCACCAGAGAACATCATTTGATTTACAACTGAACAATTCACCTTTAAACAGAGGTACACACATGCTTATAACAACTCCAGTCTCCAAATATAAGCATTAAACGTTTTGTATCTTTAAGATATTAAAAAAAACCAAAACCAAAACCAAACAGAAAGGTGCCAGGAAAAACTATCTATGTCCTACAATATAAAATCATCTCCCACATTAGGCTATCAATATTTATCCCAAACTTTATGGTCATTTACTAGACTTAACAATCTTCAAGAGGAATTCAAATGAACATATATTGAAAGGAAAGTTATGAGACAGTTGTTCCCTCTGTTTCAGAGCTCTTAGAGAATAAAACACAAAATAAGAAAAAGAGCATTTAGCTTCTCCTATCTTTCTATTTTCTTTCATAAAATATTCTATATATTTCAAGCACAAGAGACAGGCATAAAAAGATTGGTTTTTAACTAATCATTTACACATTAATAATTATAATGAGGAAGAGGGATCTGAAACTTTACAACTCTGAATGAGTGATGTGAATACAGCTCAAATCAACAGGGGAAAAAAAACAATTTGAGAAGTGCTGGTGCTGCCCAGAAGTGTGGAATAAACCCCCATCTCTTACTTCATACAGGACTGAAGCTCAAAAATACCTACAGATGTACACGCTTCTTGTGGTCAAAGCAATCATTCACTGTAAGAGTTGTCTTATCCACACAACAAACAGGACACAACTCAGGGAAAAGCAAAATATGTCTTTTACTACCATCCTCTTTCATGTGATATGACTGTTCAAAGAAGAAGATACAATTTCAAGGGTTTGAATGATAATTACAGCTCTTTTAATACCTAAAACTAACAGCACACTATAGAAAGTAGTCCATTAAGTTAACGAGCTCAGGAGTCTTGATTTGAATTAATTGATTAACTCTTCAGTTGGAACACACTACCTCCACCAGTGAGTTCCACCTGTCACTTGTACAACTGCTGGTCAAGATTTGATTTGCTTATTGGCATTTTAACAAATAACAACTTTGAAGATAATTTCATTTTCTCAACGCGAGATGCGTGCTCCACTTCAAAGGCACAGAAAGTCCCCTGTCAGGTAGAGAACTCACTGTGACAGAAGGCACTGTCCTCACCACAGTGGGTTTCCTCCAACCTCAAATGTTTTAAATGCCAAGCACTTAACTCTGAAACAATGCTGAAAAGAAGCAGCTTGGAATTGCCTGAGCTTGGTAAATATGAAAATATTTACTGGATAAAAATTTTTTATCCAGTAAGCTCCATTTGGACTCATCACATGGGACAAAATGAATTAAAGAATGAGAAACATGGGGATAAATACACCCCCTGACTTACCATTCGTTTGAGGAAGTTAAAGTACTGAAATGTAATCAACCTGTCATTGGCTACGCGGCACAGATGCACAAACTGGCACGGTATCTGCCGTACTCCAGTGTTCTTCAGATGCCAGACAAATAATCCTATTGGAAGGAAAAATTAGAACATTAGATTCCGGTTCCTTCTCTGCCACTGCGTTTGCTTCTAATTGAGGCTGTGTGTATGGCCAGCTGTGGCACCGGACACCCCACAAACAGCAACCAGGGCTGCTCGGGTAGGGAGAAACATGTTTGCAGGCTTCACATGAAAAAACTGAAAGCGTGGGCTTGCCCTGATAGTTTGGGGGTTTTCTTCCAAATCTCCCAGCTCCAGAGATGCATTTTTAGTTTATTTTCCCACGACTACTTCTGAATGAATGCTAGAAATACAATTATCTTGGCAAAACGGCACAAGCAGCACTGAAAGGAAGCAGTTGACCTGGGGCAGCACCAAAGTCAAACGCACCAAGAGGACACCCCTGTGTGACACAACGCCTATACCGGTACATAAATAAACACACACAGATTTATACAAGCGCTGCGTGTCACTCTATAGAGCAGCGCCAGGGACCACTCACAGC